GTACGACTTTCGTTATAAAATGAGTTTATTTTCTCTGTACCATATATGCTATGTACAACGTGTGTGTATTACGGTACTGAAATATACGACGTTCATCCGAAGGGTGACGTCTTGATACTGGTGAAAGAAAATAAAAGAGCGTTACAATTAACGAAGAAATCCGACACATCCTTTGAGTTGCACAATTCGCGCATACAATTGTCATCGCTTGAGAAGACGTTAGGTGTGTCAGACGTGTACGTAAGGCGATCAAAAAAAGAAGAAACATGGAATGATAAACGTGACAAGGTACGAGTATTCTTGAACAGCTTTAAACGTACAAAATAAATAAGCCATCATAAATTGGTGCGCGTGTGTTAAAAAAAAAAATTGCAGCTCGGTAGCCGGGTAAGCTCTGTACGTGACTCGCGAATCCAAATCGTTCGGGCTGTAAAAAAAGAGAGTGTCGGAGAAGACAAAAGGATCGAGAAACGCGAGAGGTTTGAAAGAAGAATGCAACGGAAATATGCACACGCTTGTCAGGGTACAGAACAGACTCGAGCTTTTCAAGCTTACGACGAAGTAGGCGCGCACCTCAGGCTCGAGGACAAGCACCGACGTTCTCTGCACACTTGTAAACACTCACGATAAAGAAAGCCCTGGGGTACGAATATAAGGCTCATTAAGGACGACGAAAGAAGGAAGCGTGAAGGAAAATACGAAAGGGGTGGAAGAGTAAACTTCTTTAGGAGAGCACCGAGGTCAGTGTCAAAAGTAACACACGAGTGGTCTCTCGGTGTGTCATCGTGAAAGCGATCGTCCTCGAGCCTAATATTATCCTTTCATCGCGGCCTCCTGCTTATTCTTCTTCTTCTTCTTCATCGTCTTCTCCCTCGTAGGCCGCGTTCGCTTAATAATTACGTGAACAATTGACGAGACATGCATGCTTGAGATTTTACTTCGTATACGCGTTAATAGTGGACAATTACATTTATAAGAGACCCTATTCGAACAGTACGATACAGTTTCCATTGACTTCGATTGAAACAATGATGCCGAGGATCGCAGTGTCCTTCATGTTCGATCAAGTCGATGAAAAGTGCACGAGTGTCATTCTAAAAACTACTGAAATGCTTCGGTACAAGATGGCGCGAGAAAATCTCGAACGAACTCCCCTGGAGGTGTGCTGCGAGCAGTGACGGGCAATTTTCAGAAGATTTGATGTTATAGTGGGTACTTGTGGGCATTTATGGACATTTGTGGATATTTGTGAACACTTGTGGACACTTGTGGGTACTTGTGGACTTTGAGTAGTTAGTTCTTTCATCCAAGATTTCTGTGTTTATTTTTTTCAATATTTCAGTCTAAAATTTTGAAAACCAGGTAGTTCAAAAATTTGAGAATGTTAAATTATATTTTTTAATTTTACAGAGTTAAAAATTGTTGCCTCTAAATTTTTTAATTTGCAAACTTGTAAAGTCTTAATATTTCAATTTCTATATTTTCAAATCTTATTTTTAATTTCTTATAGTTCTGAATTTCTGAATTATCAAGAAATTTAAAAAATTTAATTTAGTAACTTTGATTGTAGAATGTTGACATTTCCAAATTATACTTTTATATTTCCAAATGTCCAATTTATCAGATTTGTAAATTACCACAATTTTAAATTTCTAAATTTTATAATACATACTGTAAAGTTTGTAAATTTTGAATTTCTTTGTATTCTCTACACATTTTTATAATTTTGTAAAATTTGATATTTCTACAAAAATTAGCAAATTTAAATTTTTTGTATTTCTACTTTTATATATTGCTATGTTGTTAAAGTTCCAAAACTCTACATTATTGAATTATTAACATATAAATAATTTAATTTAAAAATCCCAGAATTTATATAAAAATTGTAAATGACAAAAAACTATAAAAATTACAAATTATAATTTCAAACTTGTAAATTTATAAATTTGCACATCTAGATTTGTAGATTTATTTCCTGAGGAAATAAGCTTTTAAGTTTCTATACCTCTAAGCTTTTTAGTTTCTAAATTTCTAAATTTCTAAACCTCCATTTTTCTATTTTTCTAAACTTCTAAACTACTAAGCTTCTAAACTTTGGGATATTAAGCTTCCAACTTCTAAATCTTCAAATTTTACAATTACTAATTTTTCAAATCTCAGAGTTTGAACATTTAAAAATTAAGAAATTCTTAAATTTAAAATTGTAGAACTCAAAAAAATTAAGGAATTAGAAATTGTAGAATTTAAAAAATTAAGAAATTAAAAGTTGTAGAATCTTGAAAAATTAACAAAATTAAAAATTATAGAATTTCAAATAATTAAGAAATTAAAAATTGTAGAATTTTTAAAAATTAAGAAATTAAAAAAGTGTCAAGTTGAAGAAGTATTAAAAAATCTAAGAATCTCCACAAATCTTCCATACATGTCTGCACATCGTCTGCCCGTGCATCCCCCGTCCACTCCACTGCCCACCATTGCTCTCCACCGATAATCTCTACATTGAACGCTTCTAAAATCGCAAGCTTTGAACATTTAATTAATCAGGCGAGAATGAACGAAATTCTTCATGCACCATCTCGTATACTCGTTATACGCTCTAGGATGATACCTCTAATAAAAAAAAATACATATCGCGAGCGGCGAATCATGAGCGCACGATTGTGCGTTCTCGTTCGCGGTTCGCAATTCGTTCGATCGTGTTATAAAAATTGGCTCTACCCTCTCACCACAAGCAGATTGGATATACTACGTCAGCGTTAGCGAAAAATTGCTTAGTATTAATCGTAAGTGTAAAATAAAAATGATTAGGTCGCGTCGCTTATTGAATATACGCGTAGGCACCCTTCGTTGGCATCTTATCGTCGTATGTATATATGCTGTATATATATACATACATACACGCATTCGGAGAGAAAAAGGATAAAAATAAAGGAAGGTGAAATACCGAAGCGGGAAGAAAAGCTTATTCGTCGTGACACGTGGAGCCGTGCTATCCATTGCCGCTAGAAAACCGCGTCACACCTACGGCCGGTGTTTTCAATCAACGCCTGCCGATTCAAAAGAGAAATCCTATTTTAATCCTGCGTTTCCATTGCACGCCACGGGAGAAAGCCTAGCAATTTCCATGGCAATTAGTGCCGATAATTAAAGCGCGTCCTTTCACCGCTAGTTCAATATCGCTGGGTCCTGACATTTTTCGACGGCCTGTTTTCACCTGCCTGTCGGGGTTCATTGTTGCGAATCTGTCCCGGAAAAACAAGTGATAGTGTAAAAGAGCAAGACGCTCTTCCAGATCGATTTCGTCGAAGGAAATCCAAAAATTGATCACATATGTGTCATTTGTGATCGCATATGCTCAAACATGAAACGTAGGAATTCGAGCTCTGAGTTTGAGCTTTGAAGAATTGATCACATATGTGAACTGTCATATGTGATTACATATGGTCAAATATGAAACGTAGGAATTCGAGCTCTGAGTTTGAGCTTTGAAGAATTGATCACATATGTGAACTGTCATATGTGTTCACATATGGTCAAATATAAAATGCAGGAATTCGAGCTCTGAATTTGAGCTTTGAAGAATTGATCACATATGTGAACTGCCATATGTGATCACATATGGTCAAATATGAAACGTAGGACTCCGAGCTCTGAATTTGAGCTTTGAAGAATTTTAAACAACACTATGTAAAATTACGATACTACCTAATTTGCAGTGGTTAATATTTTTGAAGACGTCCGATATAGATTACTATACCTTGAAGATACCTATTATTGTCTTAGATGTGGAGTGAAAACTAAAAGAATTGTAATTTTAGAAAGTGGAAATTATTTGAGGACCATCGAGATTCTATAACATAACCATAGGGTTAACCGGGTTAGGAAGTAGTTAGAATCTCAGTTTCAAACACAGTTGGTGACATGTTTGTCGACGGTAGACAAATGTCGAACAGCTCCGAAGTTTAGTTAACTGAAACGCAAACGTACCGTGTTGGTCGTCCCCTTCTTTATCTCCCTCTTTTGTTCCCGTCGTTTGTCTTGACGAGCGTATTCAAATTTTCAAGTTTCTCAATCAACCCGATCCCATCCGGGTCCTTTGTAATGGCAAAATCGATAAAGTCGGAAGATAGGTACCGCAGTTAACCGATTTAAATTTATCGCCAACCTTCTGTTTGTACTTTGGATTGGTTGTACCGGATGTTTCCAAATAGATCGAGGTAGGTGGTACTTTGGTGAAATTCTTCGATTTTTCACTATTTTTCAATTTTTTGTTCTTTAGTTTTTTAATTTTACACTTTATAATTTTTGTAATTTTTAATTTTCTGATTCTTCAATTTTTTGGTTTCTCAATTTTCTAATTTTATACTTTTCCAATTTTCCAGTTTTTCAATTTTTCAATTTTTCAATTTTCCTATTTTCTAATTTTTCAATTTGCTAATTTTGTTTTCTAAGTTTCGAATTCTCTAATTCTATAATTTTCTCATTTTTTGGTTCCTTAATTTTCTAATATTTTAATTTTTTAAGTTCCTAATTTTTTAATTCTTTACTTTTCGAATTTTTCAATTTTCTAATTTTCTTATCTTCTAATCTTCTAATCTTCTAATTCTTCAATTCTATAATTTTTCAATTTTCCAAATATCAAATTTTCGAACTTTCAATTATAGGAATTATAAAATTTCAAATCTTTGACAATTACAAATTTCGGATGTATAGAAAAATAGATACTGGAAGGTACATATGGAAATTTAAAAATTTAGAGTTTGAAATTTTCAAATTTACAAATTAAAAAATATGTAATAATTTATAAACATTTACAAATTTAAAAGATATCACATTTTTAAACTATGAAGTGTGGAAAATTTGTAATTTAAAATTCAGCAATTTAATAGTTCTAAAATATAGTAACTTCAACATTTTTTAATTTATTTATTTATGAAAAAAATTTGTATTCTTATTGTTTCTAATTTGAAGAATTGATCAACACCACAAAAATACATATTACTAATTTATCACGTGTTTAAAACTCTTTCCTTCAAATAAGTATGCCTCAAAACTTTACAATTTTCATTATTCCACCATCATTCCTTCTCAGACATTTATTGCAATATACCTAACTGTAGAAACAACCGAAAGCAAACAGCAAAATAACTTGTAAAAAATGTATAAAATCTGTACAAAACTATTCTGTAATTTGATATAAATCCAAATAATCCAGCTGAGTTAATCAAATTACTTCTGTGATCACATAATTGATTTTGAAACATCCAGTACAAATTCCCCGTCACATCTCCCAGTTACCCGATGTCTTCCTTTGGCCCGCGTAAAACTCGTGCCTCGTATGAAACTTAGTCAGCTTTTGGTAAGTTAGTAAGACTTGTTATGTTAAATAGCAATTCCTCCACGAAATGTAACCCGTTCAAATGTACTGTCTCTGCGCCCTGTTACGACGTTTGCACGTTGGATCCATGTTTGAAAGTTAAGATCGACTCCCCGTTATAACTTCCCTGGTATATTTCATCTCGGATCCAAGCAAAATGTCGGGATAACTTCTCGAACGTAAACGTTCGTCCGGTAATACGGCAGCGGTGGCTCGAAAATTTTCGCAATAAAGTTATTCCCTTGTACAAACGCTTTCGACCGAACTTTCAGCTTCCCCACATCCAGTCGGGTCGATACAAAGACCTAGCGGTTAGGGTACGTTTGCACGTGATACTAAAAATCATGACTTTTGGCTGTCGACATTTTTCGTTCGATATCGCTTCTTCGTAACTTACAGTTTTAGTATGTCCGAAACTTTAAGTCGAAGAAGAAAATCAAGGAATTTCTACGTTTCTGAACTGGGTTAGAACTTGCAGAAATACGCGAGATTGTGCAAGTTTTGTGAAATGAAATTAATTGAATCTTTTCGGGAAAACTTGACGAACAAAAATTAGGATGTAAACCACACTTGCTCGTATGTGAACCCAAAGTCTCAAATGAATTTTCAAAATGAACTTATTACAATGTAATAATCTAGTCTTCATCTTGAATAACATTAGAAATGATCCCATTTGATGAGATTAAAGTTTAATCATTTAAGCGAAATTTCTAGGTCTGGTGATTAAAGTCATGACATTTGCCTAGTTCCATTATGAGCACCCTCAGCTTCAGACATTTGCTTCTTTAGCAAAATATTGAGGCTACAATCTCGAGTACAAGCTTATCAAATTATTTGGAGTGTGTTAAGCTATGGTTGATGACGTGAAACGAAGTTACATCTAATTAAACATCTACAGGTTCTGAAGACATGTTGAACTAGTCTAACCTAATCTTCACATTTCAAGTATGTCTTTAACAATTCAAACCTCTCTAAGTCTGAACAAAATACTGACGATTGTTTAAAATTGAAGATACTGATGTACATAATTAAATATTTTATGAAAGTAAAAGCTTCATGTTGTAATTTGTGGGTACCCATAATGGAGATAGCATGTTGTTGCGTCATGGCATCAAATGTAGAGATTTATTATCCTGTAAAAACGTACCCGAGGACCATAGGAAATCTCGTTGATCAGGTGTCGGTGTTATGGTTCAGAGCACGTTGGTCCAGATTGATGGGATCACGTGTCCGGATGTAAATTAACTTGACCAGTGTGGAGGGTCGAATGGTGGCTAAGGTTAAGTCTAAAGGGGATACCGTTTACGTGGTCCTAGATGGGTATCCTGGATGCGATCCGACGCCATCTCGTTTTCCGACCCTTCTTGCTCCCGAATTCTCATCTAACCCCGTACGAAGCTTAGCTTAACCCCGAGACACCGCAAGAGGCAATTAACCTTCCGGCAACCCCTTTACGCGCATTGCTCTCTCTCCTTCAGCCTACCGGTGTCTCCTACTGTTTCATCCTGTTCCATCTTGGAGCAGGCTGTCTCAGCGTGACCCACCCCATCGGGCCACCCCACCCGTTCCTCCTGTTGATATCCCACTTGGAGCATCTGCATAATCATGCTCGATTCCCAATGCTAATTAGAATCCGCACCGGTGCCGTATCCTACGTAGCAAGTACACGTCGACCTCCATCACCTTCGAAGCCACGCCACGCCTCTCGTCCCGCTTCGGCTCGTTTCGCTTTATCCCGTCTCGTTTGGTGTACGAACCGACAGGAAAAACCGGGATTGAAAGAGAAAGAGGAACAGGAAGAAGGAAGGATTCGCCAGAAAAAAGGGGAGATTATGCGCTATTATGAATGAAGGATGACGAAGCTGAAAGATAATCGATCGAGCTTGCCTCTTTGATCGCCTAATTGCTTCCAGCTACTAGCCTCGTAATCATTTCTACCCGCGGTCACTCGCTTTTCACAGCTTCTATACTGATTCCAAAAGCTATCCACGGTTGAGCGTGCTATTCATTGATCGTTACGTCGGATTCTCTATTGAGAAGTTCCGAACGGAGTTTCTAGGCAACGATGACTGGTCAAGATCTCATGCGTGCGCGGATTTTCATGGTAACCGGGTCTGCGTGTCGCGGTAATTAGAGGCTGTCATCGAGCGTATCGGAAGAAGAAGAAGAGCAGGATTAACAACTCGTCACTGCTCGACTGATCTCTGGAAGAAATCGGCGATCGTTCAGGGCTGTTTCTTCTCTAGCTGCTGCCCGGTAATTGGAGTTGTGACTTGGACAGGGTAGGTTTTGCCTGATCATCACCGGTATGAGAATTTTCCAATCGGCTCAGCTGGCCGATGACGCAGGATCGATCGTTCATCCAAATAGGACAGGAGAAGAGGAAGGTATACAAGCGATAATTCTTATCAAGTAAAGAGAGCATGAAGCGTCATCGACGAGACGGGCAGTTCGTGATTCGGACGTTACAACTATTGCTCCTATCTGCCCGGTCTGTCGAAGCGAGACTTGACGGACGCTCCAGAAGAGATTTGCACAGTTCCCGATTAACAAGGCAACAGTCGGCTGTCGTCGGAAAGCTAACATTGTTCACGAAGTGCCTCCAGCCTATCGGAACTTCGACAGGCGGCGATTACCGGAAATTTCGACTCTGATCACGGACGCTGAAACCCGAAGTGTATGAAACGTTTTTGCGAACCCGAGCAAGTTTATCAGCCAGAAAACTGGCACAAATGTGGTGTGGCTCATCCGCTGGTCGAAATTTCCACGAAGTCGGCTGGAAGTTCGTGACGTCGACAGCGAAGGAAGACGAGATTGAGGGACGGGGACAGGAAACGAAGGCTGCTCAAAAACGGCGCGCTGAATATCCGGCGTCGTACAACTTACAGAGGCTGTCGGTGCGTCCCGGAACGGAATGCATTCCGGGAACGGAAACCGAGACCGAGAGGGCTTCCTGATGCTTCAGCATCTGCCGACGTCTCTGCCAGGTGAAGGTCCACGCTGCGATGATGGCGATCTGAGCCACCAGGAACACGGTGCCGGCTACGATCGCCTCGCCTAGGTTGATACACATGCCCATCGTCGACGATATGTCCTCGCTTTCGACGAAAACGGTGTCCTTGCTCGCCGAGCTGGCGTTCGCTAACTTGCTCTCGTGCTCGAAACCGAACTTGTCCGTGATCTGAATAGATTGCACCAGAAGCAGATCCTCGCGGCTCTGGGAAGAGGTTCCGGTAGAACGACGACGACGACGTTTGCCGTAGGAAATGACAGATCTCAACTCTCCGGTCGCTTCTTCTTGGTCGCACTGTACCGGTTCACATGTGGGCATGCAGGGGGTCACCAATGCGCGGAATTGTACCACCTCGGAGCTGGGGAACTTGAAGGCGTCGAAGTGAGATAACAGGATCTGAAATGGAAAAAAGATAGATATGAAATACAATTTAGATTTTAGATCATACATTTGCAGTTTAGATCACACATTTACAGTTTAGGTCATAAAGTTTAGATCTACTTCTGCCATCAAGTATATGAACAAATATTTAAAATGTTAAATTAGTTAATGTGATCAACAATATTTAAACAAACCTTGTTAATGTGATGTATTTATCAGAAAAATAGGAGCAAGTTTTAAGTATTTGTTAATTATTTTTTAATGCAATAATTAATGAATATTAAATGAGCGAATGTATTTAATTATTTGTTCAAATATTCCCATCGACTATTAGCCTTACAAGAAACTATTTAAACCATCAATCATACATATAAATATTCTTCCAAAATTTGTAAACTTAAAATCCTGCATCTGGCACAAACACCAAAATCGCAGAAACTGAAAAAACCATAAGTTTTGCAATTACCGAGTAAAATGTGTCAAAACATTCGAAAATATTTGCACCACGTGTCATATAAACTCAGAAACTGTACTTATTTCCTTCAGCCTATTATTTCTTGTTTGCATAGTGAAAGTTCGACGAGTCGTACGAATAATCAAAATAAACAAGTATAGTTATCTGCGTTCCTCGGATGATTTGCAAGTCATGTGAGAAATCACTTTGTGCCGTTATCCATCATTATGCTAATACGTCAACAGCTGCAGCGAACAACCTTGCTGGATTGCAACAATTTCGACATTTTTGCGTATTCCAATGAAGTTTACCGTTGATAACAACTGCCTTATTGCCACCGGATACTGTCTAGTTCTTCGTATCTTTCCTTTTATACTTATGCTGTTCCACGACTGTGTACACGTAGATACCATGCACAGTTCTCGTGGTTTTCTCGGGGTTTCTGCGTGAAAAACGAATTAAACTGTCGTCCAATATCGATTCGGAGCAGCGAAATTTATATTCTTCCCGGTTTCTTGCGGAGTTTTACTCCAAAAAATTGCTACGAATGCGGCAGTGGTTTCTTTAGTATATTGCATAGACTGTTTTTAGTTTATTGAATTAGTAATGTGGGTCTTAGGGATTAGTTAGATCGGTCAGGGGATGTCAGAAGTTTTCAAGTTCTGAAGATATCACTTTTTTAAATTTTCCCAAAGTATTTTAGACTCCCAAATCTCGAGATCTTCAAATATGTCCCTAAATTTCTAGGTCTTCAAATTTCCAAGCTTCTAAATTCCTGGATTCTAAATACCTGTGTCCCTAAATTTCTAGGAATTCAAATTTTCAAGCTTCTAAATTTCTGGATTCTAAATACCTGTGTCCCTAAATTCCTAGGTTTTCAAATTTCCAAGCTACCAAATTCTTGGATCTTTAAATACCTGCGTCCCTACATTCCTAGGTCTTCAAATTTGCAAGCTTTTAAATTCTTGGATCTTTAAATACCTGCGTCCCCAAATTCCTAGGTCTTCAAATTTCCAGGATTCCAAATTTCTGTATCCCTAAATACCTGTGTTCCTAAATTTCTAGATCTTCAAATTTCCAAGCTTTCAAATTCCTGGATCCTTAAATACCTGCGTCTTTTAATTCCTAGGTCTTCAAATTTGCAAGCTTCCAAATTCCTGGATCCTTAAATACCTGTGTCCCTACGTTCCTAGGTCTTCAAATTTCCAAGCTTCCAAATTTCTAGATCCCCAAATGCCTGTGTCCCTAAATTCCTAGGTCTTCAAATTTCCAAGCTTTCAAATTCCTGGATCCCTAAATACCTGCGTCCCTAAATTTCTAACCTACGTTCTCGAACTCTTATCTCTTAAAATTTCTATATACCAAAATTCTTACCTCTCAAAATTTCCACATCTTTAAACTCTCATTCTTCCTAAATCATCAATCTTTTATGTCCCACTTGCTACAACCCCAAATTTCAAAATTCTGAAATATATTCCCAAATATACATTTCCTTACATTGCTATATCTTTAAATTCATAATCAACCCCCAAATATATGTACATATCCCGAAAATTTCTTAAAATGCAACGAACTCCCATCTCATATTTTCGATCAGGAAATTTGCTCGTGACTGTACGAAGACCGTTTTAGCGTTAATAACCTGCATCACTGTTAAACCGCACCGAAAGAAGTCCCGCGATCTCAAAACGTCCTCTAAATTACGTTCACCGTTTCCCGTGTTCGTAGTCGGGCAAAACACGAGCCGTGGAGCGTTACAAAATGCAGAATATACCGAAGAGATCTCGCAACACGCCTGGCGTCGCTGATGGCACGCAACTCGCGCGTAATAGAAGATCGCCGCAAAACTGGTTTTTGCATGTCGCGGCAGCTGCGGCCCAATTTTTTTGCCGCTCATTAGCTAAGACCGTATAACAGCAATTACACGGAATTACGCGATGAAAAACGGTTCTAAGCGCGGCGCTTTTATGGATGTCCTTAAAGGATCCTCCAGGCCGTCCATTTCAATAAATTGGCTACACCATTTCCGACCATTTCTTCTGACCGTGGTCCAAGTGACCCCGAAGAGAACGAGGGCTTGTCAAAGACAAGTATTGATCGTCTGCTCCCCCTTTTTCTGCGCTACTCATTCAGACAATTCTGCGGGAGCTGAACACGATTTCGGCCGCGCGACCATTGTCGTTCCATCTTAGATAGAGAATCAATTCGGTTCACCAATGGCGGCCATCTTTTTTTGCCGGTTATTCGTATGGGCTTTTCTCTGCGGCTGATCGGTCTTCGAGAGTGACGGCTACATCTGCTCGATCTCAATGACGGCGATGGCTGTTAAAAGTTGAGATTTCGGGGGTTTTAGGAGGTTTTAGATTTAAGAATTTTGATATTTTGAGAGTTTGATAATTTATGGAATTTTTATATTTTGAGAGTTTGGTAATTTATGGAATTTTGATATTTTGAGAGTTTGATAATTTATGGAATTTTTATATTTTGAGAGTTTGATAATTTATGGAATTTTGATATTTTGAGAGTTTGGTGATTTATGGAATTTTTATATTTTGAGAGTTTGATAATTTATGGAATTTTGATATTTTTAGAGTTTGATAATTTATGGAATTTTTATATTTTGAGAGTTTGGTAATTTATGGAATTTTGATATTTTGAGAGTTTGGTGATTTATGGAATTTTTATATTTTGCGAGTTTGATAATTTATGGAATTTTGATATTTTGAGAGTTTGATAATTTATGGAATTTTGATATTTTGAGAGTTTGATAATAATTAATGGAATTTTGATATTCTGTGAGTTTGATAATTTAGGAGTTTGTAATCTGTAGTATCTGAAATAGAGAATGTCTCCACGTACCCACAGTTGTAATAAATGTTAATAAATACCGTCATAAATGTCCAAAATCCAAAAGCTCTCATTCTTTAAAAAAAAGTGTTCTCATCCCTACATTCATATAACATTTCCTCATCTTCTAAGTGTGAATCCCTTTAACCTTTCGCCATTTTTAGCACACCCTGTATCTATATCATCATCACGAAACAGTTTGTCTTCACGGTCGAGGCAAGTAGTCATCGTCGAACGTGTCACGTTCGTCGCCATCGTGTCCTCGTTGCAAGGGAACACATAAACGGCCTGGTACCAGATGCCGAGGATACACCATGCGTTTCTTTTCCCGCGTTTTATTAACCCCGCTTCTCTAAGCCTTTCCGCCGGCCTCCGCTCCGCTGACGCGAAGTTAATAAAGTTCCGCTCGTTCCACGGGACGCTCTCTCGCCAAAGAAACAGCTAAATGAAGCTGTAGGCGGAATGAAGCATATTTTAATGTCTTACTTCCCCCTCGATAGTGTACGTGCTCGGCGTGTAAATACGATACGATGCTGGTAACGTAGCGCAGAAACCAGTTCCGAGGACGAACACGCGCGTGGCGCCGATAAAGATAGGTGTCCGTTTCAGCCTTTCTTACGATAGTGCTCTCGAGAGTGCTCTCGGACTGTGTAAAAGTGCTTCCAGAACTTTGTTATCGGTATCAAGTTTTTTGGGGGGTTTCATATATTAATTTCACTCTGAAGTGTAAAGAATTTTTCAGAATTCTTACTCTTACACATCAAGAATATTTTGAGAATTTTTACTCTCAGGTATAGAGAAGTTTCCGAAAATTTGTACTCTCAAGTGTCGAGAGTTTTTCGGGAATTTCTACTCTCAGGTATGGAGAAGTTTTTGAGAAATTTTACTCTCAAGCATTGAGTTTTTCAGCAAAATTTGCTCTAAAATATCAAATATTTTTTGAGAATTTTTACTTCAGTGTCAAGAATTTTTTGACAATTTTCATTCTCAAATATTAAGAACTTTTCGAAAATGTTTACTCTCAAATTTTCGAGACTTTTTGATAATTCTTATTCTTAAACATCAGGAATTTTTTGAAAATTTTTATTCTGAAATATGAAGAATTATTTCGTCAATTCTTGCTCTTAAATATCCAGACTTTTTATTGTGAGATATCAAGAAGTTCTGAAATCTTTTACTACCAAACATAACAGTTAAAAAATATAAAATTTGAAAAATTGAAAAAATTAAATAAAGAAATAAGCGTTGCAATGATCGAACACGAATCGTATAAATCAAAGATGTTACACTAAACAAGCCATGAAAGATCGCACGTATAACTAAAAATGAATAATTGCGTAAAATCACGCGAACAGTAGAGTAAACATATTTCTAAATAAACGAAGATGATACGCAAGGTCGATAAAATATTTTAACTCTGATTCAGTTCCCATTAATCTCATAGGACATGTATTTAAATCATTTTTATGCCGTGTATACATCCCTGAATCACACTTCATTAATCTGTGTCGTCACTTAATTTTCTAATTTACAACCACACTACATCATTTGCACCGTGCACACGCAACGAAATGTGTCCTAGAAATATTCGTAGAGATAAAGTGGCACGTGCAGAGCTCCGAAAGAATATGAATGCGTGCGTAAGGTCTATAAGGATAGATCATTAATCCTTTAGGTTCTATAAGCTACCTTAGTAGCTTTTTCTTTTTCAAAA